ATAACATCGGATAGGGTTGTGTTAACAAATTTTTTGGGTTTCCATAAAAAATTCTTTTGATCTTCAACTCTCAGTCGGTTAGCGGCTTGCAAAAAAATGAGCTATTGGGACTTGATACTCATATTTTTCCCTTTCTGTCATCTGTGTAGGGCCCATCTTGTTTAATAGGGGCCCAAACGGGCGTTTTTTCTCGTTTTTTATTTGGCATAGGAGAAGAATACTTTGGTTTCTTTCGATTTCATTTATGGCTTTTAGTTCTTCCGCGATTCCTGACTCCTAAAGGATTCTTTTAGCTTAGTTCGATGCTTGCTATTTCTCTGACCAGTGTCTCCCTACGCATTTCAGATATATTGACCTCTTTAGCCGCTCTGTTATTCTTTTCCGTCGCCTGAAAAGGGAGCGCCTGTCTCTTTCTGTTTTACATCTACTCCTCCTTTTTCTTAGAGGAATAAGCCTTGTGCATACATCGAGTGCCACCGAGTTAATCTGTTCTAGGCATAATTGGGGTCTGTGTTGCTTAGTATATCTTCCCAGCTTATATCGGTTAGGACTTGGTTTACTTGGTCCCACTTTACGTTTTTGTTATTTAAGTTGAATTTGGTGAAAGCTCCCTCGAGACTAATCTCATTATGTCGGTTCGGGGGTCTGCGCATACATGACTGAACCTCAATTATGTTGTGATCTGAGTATATTGTTTTTGATATGGTGACATTTCTTTCAGATCATCATTGTTAGTGAAGATGAGGTTTTAGGGGTATTCTCCAGTCTAGTAGGCTCTATTATTTGCTGGTTTAAATTGAATTTTGTGCAGAGATTTAAAAGCTCGCATGAGTGTGAGTTTCATCAGAGCTGCCTCCTGTTTTTATTACTGCAACAATATTATTTTTCTTTTAAATCCTCCATTTTAGGTGCCTTAATTTTAAATCCCCAGGAGCAAGATGTTGGGGGCAGGAGCTGGAAGGTTTTCCAGACAGTGGTCAATTTTTAACAGCTGTTCCTGGAATTGCTGGGATGTTGCATCCGGAGGCTTGTAGACTACCACAATGACTAGGTTTTGGTTCTCGACCTTTACTGCTAAAACTTCCACTACATCATTTGAGGCATTTAGCAGTTCTGTGCAAACAAGTGACTCTGCAATGTACAGGCCAACCCTCCCCCCCCCTTTTGCCTCTGCAAGCAGTCCACGGATGAAAGGTATTTTGTTGTTTGTTGCTGGCTTTAGACCCTGTATATTTGCAAAGAAGAATGTTATCGGACTGGTGGTATTGTTGGTACTGGGGGGGGGGATTTTTTTTCCGGCATTAGTATCTGTATCTGTTGGTTTGGAGTGGAGGCACCTTCCCGAAACTACTCAAGATGGCAAGGGTTACACCAATACATAAAGGTGGTGACCCTACAGACTTAAACAACTACAGGCCAATATCAAACTTACCATTGCTATCCAAAATCTTTGAGAAACTCATGCACAGGAGACTATATTCATTTATAATGGCACAAAACATACTCAACCCCTGCCAATTTGGATTCAGGAAAAATAAAAGCACTAATGATGCAATCATAAAAATGCTAGATCTGCTTTACACAGCATTGGAAAATAAGGAATATCCACTAGGAATTTTTATTGACCTAAGAAAAGCTTTTGACACAGTAGACCACGACATCCTACTCCACAAACTTGACCATTACGGTATAAGAGGCCATGCGCTTGCTTATTTCAAATCTTACCTTACTAATAGGTATCATATGTCACCATTAAAGACACAGCATCAACAACACGGCCACTTGATACTTGAGTTCCGCAGGGAAGTGTCCTTGGTCCCCTGCTCTTCCTCATATACATCAATGATCTTCCAAACGTATCCCATTCTCTTTGCTGACGACACAACTTATGTCATCTCTCACCCTAATCTTGCCACCCTCAACACCATTGTTAACGAGGAGCTGATCAAAATATCGATTTGGATGACAGCCAATAAACTTACGCTTAACACTGACAAAACCTACTATATTATGTTTGGTAGCAGAGCAGGAGATGCACAAATTAACATTAAGATCGACAACACTCTAATTACCAGACATAATGAGTGCAAATTCCTAGGCCTATACCTTGACAACAACCAGAATTTCAGCACCCATATCCAACACATAACCAAAAAAATACCCAAAAACGGTTGGATCCTCTCCAAGATACGATACTACGTGCGCAAAATGCCCCTCACACTATACCCCTCACTTATTTATCCATACCTCACCTATGCTATTTGTGCTTGGGGATCAACTGCAGCAACACACCTAAAGCCAATAATAACCCAACAAAAAGCTGCAGTAAGAATAATCACTAAATCCCATCCCCGGCAACACCCCCCCCCTCTTTTAGATCTAAACTTACTCCCTGTTCAGTACATCCACACTTACTTGGGAAAACTACATCTACAGGGCCTTAAACTCTAATATCAACCTTGACCTAAAACGCTTTCTTGATAGTTGTGACAGAACCCACAGGCAAAAACACCAGACACAAACATCCTACGACATTCCCCGTGTCCGAAATAAACCTTTACAAAATTCAATGTATGTCAAAGGCCCTAAAATCTGGAACATCCTACCTGAGAACTTTAGAACTTCAGACACATTCATCACCTTCAAAACTACCATTAGAAAACATCTTATCTCCCTATACACCCCTTCAACAAAACTACCCAAATACCACCTGGGGGTTCCCACTTACGCCACTCACCCATTTGACCATAACTGAAAATTAAATCTCAATCTTAAAATTGATCCGTGATACCCAATACTGAAACTTGTACGTGCCAAAAAACAAACATTCACTTGCAAAACTCACAAACAGTATTTAGTCATTTTGCCATAATACCAACTTCCTCATAATTTGAATATTTTAAAATTAAAGAATTAAACAAAGTTGCCCGAAATGCCTAGCCGCTAGGTGTTCTGTGGTACACTCGAAATTTTATTTTCCTACATGCAAACCACACAATAACCAAATTCTTAAAACCACATTGAAATCCTTATAGAGAATAACCCCTAGGGAAGGTTCCTTGATTTTTGGTGGGGGGCCTTGTTGGGGAATTGATTTGGCTCCGTTCCCCAATTAAAAGCCGAATGCCTTCCACATCCCCCCCCCCCCAGGCGCTGTTTTAACCTAGGGTTAGGCCCCCCTGTTAAAATAATAATAATAATATAGAGAATAAATTTTTAAATTTTAAATTTGAATTGGGGGCCTGGGGGGGTTTAGTGGGGCATGGGGGGTTTTTTGGGGGTTTGGGGGGGGGTTATTAGGGGCCGGAGAGTTTTATCAGGTTTGGGGGAGGTTTTGGGGGCCTGGGGGTTATTCGGGGGCCTGGGAGGTTTTTAAAGGGCCTCGGGGATTATTGGGGGGCCGGGGAAGTTTTTAAAGGGGCCGGGGGAGTTTATCAGGTTTGGGGGAAATTTTGGGGGCCTTTTGGAAGGTTATTAGGGGGCCTGCGGAGGTTATTAGGACCGGGACGATATACAAGGCCTGGAGAGGCATGGGGGGCCCTTGGGGATTTTATACAGGCATTTTTGAAATTATCGGGGGCCTGGGGGGGGTTATTATGGGCCTGGAGAGGTTATACGGCCCTGGAGGTTTTAGGGGCCGGGGGAAGGTTAAAAGGGGGGGGGGAGGTTAAGGGACCTGGGACGTATAGGGGCCTGGACGGCATGAGGGCCGGGGGTTTTGCCAACCTGGGATTTTTTGGGGGCCTAGGGGGGAATTAAAGGCCGGGGGAGGTTTTTGGGGGAAGGGCAAAAGTTATAGGGCCCTGTAAAGTATTAGGGGCCTGCGGGGGTTATTGGGTGCCTGGGAAGTTATTAGGGCCGGGGGGGTTTATTAGAGCCTGTGGAGGATATACGGGCCTTGGAGGTTAGGGACCTGGAGAGCTTATAAAGGCCGGGAGATTATCATACCTGGGGGTTTATTAAGAACCTGGGAGGTTTTGGGGGCCTGGGGGGGGTTTTTAGGGGCCGGGAGGGTATTAGGAGCCTTGGGGGGTTGTTAGGGGGCCTAAGGTTATTAGGGGGCCGGGGGAGGTTATGGGGGTCTGGGGGGTTTTTGGGGGGCTTGGGGGTTATTAAGGCCCGGGGGGTTAATGGGCCGGGGGGTTTTTAAAAGGGCCTGGGACGATTTTGGGGGGCTTATCCCAGGACCTGTTGAATTACAAGGGGCCGGGGGAGGTTTTTAGGTGGCTGGGGGGGTTTTTGGGGGGCCTGGGGGGAAAGAGGCCCTGGGGAGGCTATTAATGCCTGGGGAGGTCTTTGGGGGCCCCAGGGGGGGTTATTACGGGCCTGTGCGGGTTTTTGGAGTCTTGGGAAACGTATACAGGCCTTGGGCGTTTATGGGGGGCCCGGGGGATTTTAAAAGGGGCCTGTTAGATTATCAGGGGCTTCGGGAGGTATTAGGTCTGGGGAGGTTATTGGGGGCCGGGGAGGTTTCACGGCCTGGGGAAGTTTTTGGGGGCCCTGGGGGGTTATTAGGACCCGGGGGGAAGGTTAAAGGGCATGGGGGGGTTTATTATTAGCCGGGGGGTTATACAGGGCGGTTGTTATTAAGGTCCTGGGGAGGGTTATTTTGGGGCCCGGGGGGGTTTCGTGGGGCCCGGAAAGGTTTTAGTGGCGTGGGGGGTATTAGCGCCCGGGGGGGTTATTAGGGAAAGGGGGAAATTTATGGGCCCCCGGGATAAAAATAACTCATTATGATTATGAGGAAAAAGGTAAATTTCATTTTCACTGTAACTTTTCAATATCAGAACTTTCGGCCCAATTTTCCCGTACCCATTTTGTCCTCTGTAATCCCTTGACTCCCTTCACAAATTGGTATTTTAAACAAGTAATGATTTTTTCAAAAAAAAAATTTTATTGTAAAAATCTAATTCCTAACTCTTAAAAAAATGAATATATTTATTCATTAAAGTTATTTTTTAAAAGTATAAAATATATAATAATTTAGCTCTGTAGTGCAGGTGATGGCAGTTGCCTCGGCCACTAGCGAGATGTTATTTACAGATATTGCTACCGCTCACCAGCGGGAGTAACGCAATATTTTTGTATTTAAATTCTCCATTTGGCCAGTAAGACTTCAAAAATGGGAAAAATGAAGCAGCGGCGGCAGCGGTCATCCCGATATAACCCTATTGTAATGTCAAATAACAGAGCAGCGACGGGAGATGAGCTGGTAGTATCGAGGAGCTCAACTGCTGGTCTCAAGCTTGTCGAGGAGAAGGTATAATAATAATATTTGTTTCTACAAGTGCATGACACAACTTTTACAGAACTAGCCGACATCAGTGATATATGTTTCTTCCATGTATGCTCGGGGATGGAAGCATGTGTTGGGGTCGTTTAATAAATCTTACATCATACTAACGTAGCCTGTACGGTTGAGGATGACCACTCCTCCTCCACTAATAATGATATTCTCATCACCACGGCGGACAAAAGAGGAGGAGGAGGAGTGGGCATCATTAGTAAGATGCAAGATTTATTCAATGACCCTAACACGTAAAGAAACAGATTCCTTTCTCAGTAAGACCTGCAGCATACTCAGGAAATCAGAAGGCAAAAAAATCTCTTGTTCCTCATCCCTACCAACCCCAAGTCAGCAAGGCTTTATGGTTTACCGAAGACCCATAAACCAAATGTGCCTATGAGACCTATTACATCTGGAATCGGCAGCACCCCACACAGCTTGGCAGGAGTTTTGGCAAAATATTTCTCTAAACTCCTGGGTACAATTAGTCAGGCTCACCTGAAGCATTTGGGTGACCACCTTAACCCCTTGACTGTCACAACCCCCAATCCCGAGGTGTCTCCTGGTGTCGCAAAATTTAAAAAAAAAAATTATTTTTTCTTATGAAATGATAGAGAATCTTTTCCCAATTGTAATGACACCAAAAGAATGAAATTTGATGGAAAACTGACGGAATTACGCTCTTGCGAAGTTAGCGACCTTGGCGATATTTACAAATCGGTGATTTCGCCCACTTTGAGCCCTATTTTCAGCTAATTCCATTGTTCCAGTAGACCAAACTCATAGCTACTTCTTTAGATCTCCGTTTTTTTTTCTATCGATTGAGTACAAGAAACTGCCCATTTACCGATTTCAACTACCCAATAACGTGATCAGAATTTGCAATTTGGCCAATTTCAGAATGAACAATGCAGACATTCCTGGTTCTAAAATAACATTTTCTTTGTTCATCAGTCATGTCTCCAGGCCCCTCTGATATTATTCTTGCTTTCTATTTTGAACTTTTATTCAAACAAAAAATAGAAGATTTACTGTTATGCAGACTACTGCAATACTGTAATAATTGTACAAATAATGTCAACCCATTCATGACTGCATATTAGAATGGCTAATTGGACATTTATTGGACAACGACATCATTTGTTTACTTTTGAACATCGGCAAAAATCAAACATTTCCCCTACTTTGAGCTCCATTTCAAAATCACCTCTATTTCTATAATATGTTTTCCATTCTATCAAATGAGACCAAGAAAACGAGAATACAACCATAAATACTATACGAAAATAGACCACAAAGTCGGCACTTTAATTAAAAAAAACGGTCGGAGTTTTTTTTTCTCGTGCACTGCGTGCTCCAGGATTTTTTTTATATGGTGCACACAGACCACACAGACCCATTCTCTCACATGTGGGGCTACCAGCTTTCTCCTGCTTGATTTGAAGCCGCTAGAATTTATGAGTATATATACGTCAACCACGGTGGCTCGTAATACGTATATATATGACCGAAACAGTCAAAGGGTTAACCATGTCAAGGATCTCGACATGAGTGATAAGAAGCTTGCAAGTTTCGATGTGACTGTCTTATTCACCAATGTCCCAATTGATCAAGCCATTGAGCTTTGCAGGGTGATTAACGATGATACAGAGTTACCTGTACCCCGCCCAGATTTTGAGAGCCTTGTCAAACTTTGTGTTCGTTATAATTGCTTCAGGTTTGAAGACAAGAAGTATAAACAACTCTTCAGGCTAGCCATGGGATCACCCCTTAGTGCAGTACTTGTCAATTTATATATGGAGGACCTAGAATCCAGACAGATCTTCAGTAACATCCCTAGGTCAGTTACATGGATGCGGCATGTTGATGATATTTTGGTCATTGTACCCAAAAATCTAGATGTACGTGGCATCCTCAACAACATCAACACTGTAGATGAATGGTTCAGAGAACCGACACGTTGATAAATTAGACACGTGCAGCTCTTGGGTATCTTTATTGAGGAAACGTTTCTCCACACAGTGGCTTCATCAGTCCATACAAAGGAGAATCGTGACGAACAGGATAAGAATGAGGTAATCAGTCCCTCAACCTTGAGTCGATGTGGTCAGTCCATCAATCTTGAATAGAATACAGCATATGTGCTGAGAAGTAGCTTATATACCGCTTATATACTGTGTGGAGAAACGTTTCCTCAATAAAGATACCCAAGAGTTGCACATGTGTCTAATTTATCTACATCAACACTCTGGAACCTACTAATAAATTTACACTAGAGGAGGAGAAGAACAACCAATTACCTTTTCTTGACGTTCTCCTACTCACTGGTGAAAACAGACTTTCTTTTAAAGTGTACTGGAAACCTACCTACAAGAACGATCTTCTACATTTCTTCTCTCACCATGACACCAGAACTAAAAGAGGGGTAGTTATTGCCTTCTTTCTGAGAGCCTACAGAATTTCCAGTCTGCAGATCCTCAAAGAAGAATGCACATACATCACCAGTTCTTTTAGTTCACTACACTTTCCCCTACACTTCATATGTGACTGCAGGAAATGTGCAACACATATCCTCATCAAGACCAACACCAATCAAATTGAAGAAAAGCCTCCAAGTTACATCATTTTACCAGTAGGCAATGTTGCCACTAACATTTCAAAAACGTTTGACAGAAAACTGGCTAAAATATCTACCAGCTCTTCAACTGTTAGGAACCTGGTACAAAAACCCAAGCATGATTCTGGCATGAGTGCAGGAATTTACACTATACCATGTGGGGGGTGTGACAAAGTATATGTGGGGGAAAGAGCCAAATCTCTGGAAGTAAGGATCACCCAACACAAAAATGCTTGCAGAAATGATGACCATAAAAACGCATGTGTTCAACATAGGGACGATGTTGGACACCTCATGAAATTCAGTGAGACTAAACTAGCAATTAAAGAAGACGATTTAAGACTGAGAAAATGCATAGAAGCTGCCCTAACTGCTGTCAGTAACACTATAAAGAAAAAGTCCAGTAGTTACTGCTGTTACATGATGTCAACAGGTCCCTCTGCAGCCATCCGTCTCACCACCTTAGTTACACTACTACTACCACCTCTACCCATGCGACACTTCACTTGACTCCTGCCACTATATATACACGTTTTCTTAATTTTCTCTGTATTAGGACTGAAGAAGCCACTCGTGGCGAAACGTTTCCTTTAATAAATGTCCTGAACTGTTGATTAGTATCTTTGTCCACAGTAAACAAATGACATCATGCATCCAATACACATCAACTGGTGGGTCAAATATACATTCATGAATGTGCTGATATTGTTTATACAATTATTACAGTATTGCATAATAGTAATCTTCTATTTTTTGGTGTAAATAAAAATTCTGTATGTAAAAAAATCAAAATGGAATTCATCTGTAAAGCCTGGAAACGTTACTAATAAACAGAGGAAATGTTATTTTAGTGCCAGGAATGCCTGCATTGTTTATTCTGGACCTTGTTTTGAAATTGGATTATTTTAAACTTTGTGTAAAATTGGCCAAATTACTAATTTCTGATCACTTTATTGGCATAAATCGAACATTTCCATTACTTTGAGCTCTATTTCAAGTTACTTTCATTCATGAAATCAATAAAAATAATCTCTATTTCTCCATTCTGTTAAATGAGACCAAAAAGCCGAGAATGTAACCATAAAATCCATGCAAAAATACGCCGCAAAAAACACAATTGCAGTTTTTTTTTCTCTTGCACTGCGTGCTGCAGGATTTTTTTTTATATGGTGCATGCTTACCGCAGAGACCCATTCTCTCATATCTAGGCCCAAATATACCACTCACAGCTTATCTGAGTGAGCTGAGCTCATGATGTACTACGGGACCAACACTGGCTTCAAATCTGTGATACTATGGGACTGACCCTGAAAGGGGTAATATTGCTCTTAGTGTCCACTTTCTTTTTAAATTCTTCTGAAATGGTAGAATGTTTTCTAGAGGTAATGAAACCAAAAGTAAGAAATTTGATGGAAAACTTATGAGATTAGGCAGGCAAGTGCAAAGTTAGCTGGCTTGACACAATTTACCCATCAGCAATTTCGTCCACTTTGAGTCGTATATTAAGCCAACTCTATTTCTTCAATCAATCAAATTCTTAGCTATTTTGCTAGTATGCCTTCCATTCTGTCGATTAAGCACAAGAAATTGATCATTTAACTATTTCAGTTACCCTATGCAATGTACAGAATTTGGTAATTTGGCCAGTTCTACACAAAATTAAAAAAAATACTTAAAAATAATCCAAACTAAACACTAGACATTCTTGGCACTAAAACATTTCTACATTCATTAATCACTTTCCCAGGCCTCTCCTATATTAAACTTGACATCCATTTTTAATTCATAATCCTACACACAGATAATGAAATATAACCAGGAATGATTGGTCATGGTTTATGGTGTCCCAATAATTGAATCAGACATATTAAAAACCCTTAAAACAGACTGGGGAAGTGTGTGGGGGCCTTACCCATCCTCAGAATAATCAGCAAAAATCGAATATTTTTCCTTTTTGAGCTCAGTTTCAAGCTAATATAGGAGAGGCCTGGGGACATGATAAATGAACAGAGGATAGGTGGCTTTAGTGGCTTATGAGTTTAAGCACTTTAAGGAAATCTTAGGAGTTTAACAATTCTCTTTCATATCTCTTGGCGATTTAGCTCACTAGCGCAGTAATGGAGGAGCGTGTCAGTGGTCTTAACATTCTTGCTGCCCTTGCCTTAGATGATGAAGCACACTCGACCATCATGAACAGCATGATAGTAGGAAAAGTGGCAGCCCTTTTGAGGGATCCAGTTATAGATGTTAGACTAGTTGCAGCAGGAGCACTGAGGTAAGTTTACACTTTACTGTTTAAAACTGGTGCATACTTTTGTTTCATAAATGGATATTAATTAAATTCATTTCTAATTCCAGTGTTAAAGACCTATAACCAGTCAGTTATAGATTATTCATTCACATTGAGTGCTGTGTAGCTTGTCTGTCATTTTAATGTGGCATCATTTGTGCCCTTCTCTGGGAGCAAAAAAATTCAAAATATTTCTTCACGTAAAATCCAAGTCAGAGCCCACCTCTAGAATTGACCTATTATTCACAAGAGGTTCATACACCACTGAAAAAGAAACAAGCGAAATATTGGAAGTCCCGTATGAATCAACATTCAGTGATTCACTAAACAAAATAAGAATAGAGAATCCAGATTTTTTTTTCATTACCTCTTCCTGCTCTGTTAATCGTGTATCTGAAATAATCGCTGATTTCCATAGAATTAGAAAAAGAAATAGAAAACATGCCCACACATGCAGCACCAGGACTTGGGTCATGGAACTCCTTATTTATAAAAAGTGCAAAGGAAGGAGGATATGAAGAATTTATATGATAGGGCCATTAGTATCCATTAGACATTTGTAAGTGCTTTACATCAGAGTGAGTCAAGACAAGTGGTTTTGGGGTTTCGATGTTCTTTTGGAGTGTGAGCAAGGTAACATTTATGAAGAGATTCGGGGAAACTGAGGAGTGTGTTTCACTTAGTAAAGTGATTACTAAAGAAAGTAGTGGCACATGGTATCTGGAGAGAAATTCTCTCCTAAATTCAGGCATGGCTGATTAGTAGTCAACAGGAACTCTGTATTAATGGGAAGAAACAAAGAAAAAGGGCCCATTACAAATAGTGTTGCATAGGGTCAGTATTACGACACTTGTTCAGTCTACATAAATGATATTGATGAGGGAATTAAAGAAGTCCCAAGGTTTAGCTTCATTATATTGTTGGTAAGGCCTCCATATTACAAAGTGAACTTAAAGAAACCAAAATACACAGAGAAGGATGACAAAACGAATCCTTTGCACTAGAAATATTTTATCTGATATTAGGTTAAAGATAATGAATATGTACTGTATGGAGTGGCATACAGTTAAGGAGATGATATTGAACTGTGTAAATGGAAGTAAATGTGTTCAGATACTTTGGAGTGGACTTGTCGACAGATGGATTTACGAAAGACTCGGTGAACCATAAAATTGACGAAGCAAAATAGGGAATGTATGAGAGTATAGTGGTACTAGTGCTCTTATATGGGTGTGAAGTATGGTTTGTGAATGCTGCAGCAAGGAAGAGGCTGGAGGCAGTGGAGACTTCATGTCAGAGGATCATGTGTGGAGTGAATGTTATGTAGATACACCTACTATCCAACTTACGACCGAGTTCGGTTCCGAGAAACCGGTCGTAAGTCGAAATGGTCGTAAGTCAAACTTTACTACTGAATATCAACAAAACATTTTTGTAATTACTTTATTTTATTGTTTTATTTTGGTATTTCATGTTTTACTTTACTTTTTATGTTGTTAGTACTGTATTTTATACTGTAAGGTTTAGGATAAACACTGTGTACAACACAAATAGTTGTTTATTTCTCAGAAATTTGGCATAAAAAACACGGTCATAAGTCGAGCAGGTCGTAAGTCGGATGATAGGTGTAATTCATAGCTTAGAGATTAGAAGGACGTGTGGAGTTGTTGAGGATGGAACAAAATAAGATGACTTTGAGGGAGTATAAATCAGTAGTGGAGAGAAGTCGGGGTAGGGGGCCATCCTATGAAAAATTGGAAGAAGGAGGGTAAAGGAGGTATTGTGTGCGAGGGTAGAGCTAGTGTTTTTTTTTTTTTTTATGACTTGACATGCTGTTGGAGTTTGAGCAAGGTAACATTTATGAAGGGATTCTGGGAAAACATTTAGCTTGATTTGAGTCCTGGAGATGGAAAGTACAGTGCCTGCACCCTGAAGGAGAGATAGGGATATTTGCAGTTTTGAACTGTAGTATCGGCAACCCTCTGGAAAGACAGTGATGGAGTGAGTGATAGTGAAAGTGTTTCTTCTTTTTATGGGGTCACCCTAACTCAGTGGTAGTGGCCAGTTTGTTGAAAAAAAAAAGAAAACTGGAATAAATAAAATGGGTATACTAAATGTAATGTAAAATATTTTGAAGATGTTTTCTCTAACATTTATGTTTTTAATGCTAGAAATATAAGTGCTGGTGGATCAGATGAGATTATTGAAGCAATGGTACAGCAAGACATATTAACACCTTTGGCTGAGCTGCTGCAAGAGTACAGTGAGCCCTGGATACCTTCAATGACAGACCTTGGTGAAACCGCACCAAGGGAGGTTGATCCCATGACCAACACTTTTGTACAGGCTACTCATCTTCTCTGGAATCTTTGGTAAGTTATTTAACCCTTAAACTGTCCAAACGTAGATCTACGTTTGCTCGCATAACGCTCCGAACGTAGATCTGTGTCTTTTTTTTTTTTTCACATTCTTTCTTATGGAGAAAAATCAAGGTCGGAGCACTACGCGCACAAACATAATTCTACATTTGGACAGTTTAAGGGCTAAAAAGTTACATTATTGAACATGCAATAAAATTAAATGTAGTCTAACCACTGTATATACCCTACTTATGCAGGAAGATCACATGAAACTCATAAGCACACTGTCTCTGAAAATTGTATCTTTAATATAGATTTACAAAGTCTTTTGGGGAAGAGTATGTAGTATTGAAAGTAGAAAACAGTATGTATATCCACACACTGATAATGAAAACTAGAGGATGTTTCAGTTCATAGTGGACCATTAGCAAGTCAGGAGTGAGAAAAAAATGGTGAGAATTGTTCCAGCTTTAACCCTTTCAGGGTCAGCAGGCCCTCTCCTAAACTTGTTCTCAGGGTCAGAAATTTTTCGGAAAAAAAATAAATATGTTTTCTTATAAAATGATAGAGAATCTTTTCCCAATCATAATGACTCCAAAAGTAGAAATTTGATGGAAAACTTACGGAATTATGCTCTCGCGAAGTTAGCGGTCTCGACAGTGTTTACGCATCCGCGATTTTGCCCACTTTGAGCCCTATTTTCGGCCAATTCCAATGTACCAGTCGACAAAAATCTTAACTATTTCATTAGAACTCCATTTTTTCTATTGAATGAGTACAAGAAACCATCCATTTACCGATTTCAACTATCCAATGAAGTGGTCAGAAATTGGCAATTTTGCCAATTTCACACAAATTTCAAAAGATGCCAATTTCCAAATAAGGTCCAGGATAAACAAGACAGACATTCCTGGCACTAAAATAACATTTCCTCTGTTCATTAGTCATGTCCCCAGCCCTCTGTTATATTTCTTTTTGCTTTCCACTTTGAATTCTTATTCTCACAAAAAATAAAAGATTTACTGTTATGCAGGCTACTGCATTAGTGTAGAAATGGTGTAGAAATGGTATAAATAATATCAGCGCACTTGTGAAAGAATATTAGACTCACCAGTTGATGTGTATTGGATGCATGGCATGATTTGTATACTTTTGAACTTTGGCAAAAATCAAACATTTCTGCTACTTTGAGCTCAATTTCAAGGTCCTTTTCTTTGTGAAACCAATTAGAATCATCTCAATTTCTGTAACATGTCTTCCATTCTATAAAATGAGACCAGGAAAACTAGAATACAACCATAAATAGCATACGAAAATACACTGCAAAGTCACTGTTTTAAACCAAAAACACGGTCAGAGTTTTTTTTTTCCTCATTATGCACTGTATGCTGCAGGATTTTTTTTTATACTGCACACACTGACCACACAGACCCACTCTTTCATATGTAGGCCTACCAGCTTTCTCTCACTAGATTTGAAGGCGCTAGAATTTATGCGTACTAGTACGGCACCAACCCTGGTGTGCAAGCCATACTAGTATAGCACCAACCCTGAAAGGGTTAATATGTGATTGTTGTTGTTTATGAACATCAGTCACATATTGGGTCATAACCCAATTTGGTCATGACCCAAACCTAATTTCCCCATTAGATTGTATGTAAATACAATTCATCCATTCCAGACCACTACGAACTGTATGTAAATAATTTTTTTTTTTTTTTTTTTTTTTTAGCACAAAAATAGTTAATTGTACCATAGAATGCACAGTGTAATAGTAAACTAAATGTAAAACCCTTGAATAACACTTGAGATAACCTTGAACAACAGAGAAAACTATTATTGCACAAGTTAACTCCGTTATTTATTGCCCGATTTCTTTCATTTTTGATGTACATTAAGAAGCATCTTTCCATCATACATTGCCCAAGTTTCAGTAAGATAGCCCAACAAACAACTGAGATAAAAAATATTTACCAAAAATCACATGTGGCAAGCCCTAGCCGGGTACTGGCACTGTGAGAAGCTGTTTCAGCACTACCTGCTGATAAAACATTGTTATTCCGAATTTATCATGGATGTAATTACAGGAAGTAGGGAAAATTGGTGCATGCAAAGAAAATGGCACGGAATGTGAAAATTGGCATGGCTGTGTTTGTTTGGCACCTGATTATGTGTTTGTGACCAGATGCAAAAATCTGGCTAATTTTTTGGTCACGAACTGATTTGTTCATGTACGTAAGCGTTCGTGACCAGAGGTTCCACTGTACATGTATATGTAATGCATGAAACCTATACATTTTAAATATTTTTTATTAAAAACTAAAAATGTGATGAAGCAAGTTTTTTAATTTAGCAAAATTGGATACATCTCCAGTGTACTATTACACTACTCTGCATGACTGTTACAGGTAAATGTAATAAACAAATTGTGGTAATCATAGGGCATAACTGGATTGATTAATCCCTAAACTGTTACATTGATCTATGTGAGGGAAATTGAACAGAACATAGATCACATTGATCTATGTAAGGGAAACTGAACAGAACATAGATCATCAGTTTAATTTTGAATTTTCACATGCTGTATTTTCTACTATACAGTACAGGGCAGCCATCACTAATCCGGCAATCACTTATCTGGTTCCATCAGTAATCCGGCACTAATTTCAGCTAGCATAATTTCAAATTTCATCATTATACTGACACAAATTTCATCATTATATTTACTAAAAAATTGTGCAGATGGTTGTAAATCAACAGTAGCAAGCTAATGGAGGAGAAAGCAGTGATGAAAATGAGGATGATGTAGCAGAAAGAGTCTCTGTTGATAAGTTAATTAAGTGTATTCTAATCTAACCACTGTGTAATCCGGCAAACTCACTAATCCGGCACACTACAGATCCCAATGATGCCGGATTAGTGATGGCCGACCTGTATAAGTTGCACTGACACATTCATTGCACCCTGATTTTTAAAGGACTTTTTTGGAAAACTTTTATCTCATAACATGCATGGGCCCAGAAACTGGATGCCTGTCTACTAAATGTGCCAAACCAGCCAGCATGTAATGGCTTATTGGCCTGTGGGCTATTAGCAATAATGATTTGATTGACCAGCCACTCAATAAGAGAGACTGGTCTCAGGATAATTTTTCTTCTGTCTTTGTATGCAGCAAAGAGAACCAAAAATATGTAGAATTTGTAAGACATTTTAGTGAACATAAACATATGTGAGTATAGTCACTAATAAATATTAAACAATACAGCAAAAAAAACTTTTTGATATTTTCTTTACCTTATTCTATTACCAGTTTGTGTGTGATTATACTTTTTTTTTTTTAATCTGCAGCCATATGATAACGTAAATTTAATCCTTAACTTTTTCATTGTCCGTGCCATAGTATGACACCATGAGCTCAGCTCATTTAGATAAGCTGTGAACAACAAATTTGGGCCTGTACATGAGAGAATGGGTATTTGCAGTAAGTGTCCACCATATAAAAAAATCCTGTGGCACGCAGTGCATGAGAAAAAAAAAATAAGACCGTTGTCTTGGCTTAAAACTGTGACTTTGCAGTAAGTGTATTTTTGTATGGTTTTTCTGTGTTTTGGTTTCATTTGATAGAATGGAAGATATGTTACAGAAATAGACGATTTTGATTGATTGGTTTCAGGACTGAAAATAGCTTGAAATTGAGTTCAAAGTAGTGAAAATGTTTGATTTTTGCCAATATTCAAGAGTAAACAAATCACGTCACCCGTCTAATACACATCCAACTGGTGGGTCTAATGTGTTCACAAATGCACTGATATTATTACAATATTATTACAATATTGCTTAACAGAATCTTTTTTGTGTGTGAATAAAAATTCAAAATGGAATTCACGTGTAAAGCTGGGAAAGTAAGTAATGAACAGAGGAAATGCTATTTTAGTGCCAGGAATGCCTGCATTGTTTATTCTGGACCCTATTTTGAAATGGAATATTTTGAAATTTGTGTGAAATTGGCCAAATTACCAATTTCTGGTCACTTGATTGGGTAGTTGAAATAGTTCATTGGGCAGTTTCTTGTGCTCAGTTGATAAAATGGAAGACACACTAGTGAAACAGTGATGAATTTGGTCAACTGGAACAATGTAATTTGCCTAAAATAGGACTTGATGGACAAAATTGCTGATGTGTACATATAGCTGACACAGCAAAATTCACGAAAGTGTAATTTCATCAGTTTTCCATCAAATTTTGTACTTTTAGTTTCATTACCTTCAGAAAAAGATTCTCTGTTGTTTCATAAGGTTTTTTTATTTAATTATTGGACACAGAAAGCAGTTCTTAGATCAGAGGCCTGGATAATGAAAGGGTTAACAAGCAGGACTGTGTAATAAATTAACAACCAACTTAGAGTGTTTACTCCCTCATGATAAAGTTGATAAGTTAGCCAAAAAAAAGTACCCTGAAGGAAAATGTAGAATATAACTTCGATGTATGTGTGTTTATCATTAAGAATATTATTAGGAGAAATGTTAATAACAGAAGTGAATGTTATAGGATTGCAATTAGAAGCCTGAGTAGATTTATCACCCATTATGATAACATGAATGTAGCTATAATAATAATAATAATAATATCTTTATTTCTACAAGTACATGTACAAGGTATACAGGTCTAGCTGACATCAATGACATACAGTGGAACCTCGGCTTACGAGTTTAATCCGTTCCGTGACCTTGCTCATATTCCAGTCTGCTCGTATGCTGAGTCAATTTTCCTCATTTAAATTAACTGAAATGCCATTAATTCGTTCCAGTGGGATTCGTGCTCTCAGGACCTAGGACAAAATACAGTGGAACCTCAGCTTACGAAAGCCCCACCATGCGAATTTTTCAGGATACAAACCGTCGTTTGATCGATTTTTTGCTTCAGGATACAAACAAAATTTCAGGATGCGAACTTCCTCCTCAAGGGAGGTTCCTTAAATAAATAAATAATTTATTTTTATTTAGTGAAGGGAT